CTAATGCCATAGCGGAAGAACACCATGCCGTTGCGCGCCACCGTCCACACCTGACCCGTTGGCCCAACGCTGATGGCAATCAGTGGCTGCTCGCTGGCAATGTGCTCCCAGGCGTCTCCGCGCGGATTCAAGCTACTAACGCCATGTCGGATGAGCACATCGCCATTGGAGGCAATGGCCCAAGCGGCAACAGGCACATTCTTAACGTCATGCGCACTGTCCACATCCTCGTCCAGGACATGAAGAGCCGCATCGAGCACTTTCGACTGGCTCAGCTCCTGCCAAGGGCCACTGCTGCTCAAGCGACATCTCTTCATCCACCGCCGACGACGCACGCAATCAGTGAGCTTCTTATGGGCATGATAGTTGGCAGGAAAGTCAATGGCATACTGCCAGCCCTCCTTGTCGGCGCCACCTGGTATGTTGTAGTCAATCGCCCAGTCCGAGATCCACTCGCAGTGCGTGGACAGCAGCTTGGTGTGCTCCTTGCTGCGCTTCTGCCGTCCAGTGGCATCGCTCCATGTGTGCCGGTCCGTGGGCAGGCTTTTGGCAGTGAATCCGCTTATCGGATTCCACCGCTGATTCTCATACACGTAGTACGTGTGCGTGTCTATCATTGCGTTTATCTTTCCGGAGCCCTCGAGGCCCTTGAGGAACATGCCGCCCCATCCGCCGTTGTAAACCCATGCGGTATTGTCGCAGGATATGCCCCATACAACATCCACGCCGCTGTTGTAGACCCGCTTGATGTGGCCTCCCATCTGGCGCCAGTGCATCTGTTGCATGGACACAATGACTGACGGACAGCGATACAGCACGCTGAAGAGCTTGATGCGTCCACTCACGTACAGGCAAGTGACACTCTCCGGATCAATGCGGTATTTGTAGTCCGTATAGACCACATTATTCACAATGATGTGGTAGTGGTTCTGCAGTGCTCTGAAACGATGGAGAGAGAGCGATAGATAAGCTGGTTTTTGGGTAGGTTTATCGATGCCACAGCCTTACCTGATTTTCAATGTAAACGTGGCGCCCGGAGCAAACACTACCTTGTCGTTGCGCACCTCCTCCAGCCATTCAGATTCCTTCATGGAATTGAGCACAGTTGTGCGCTCGTTGAAGCGTGGATTCAGATGCAAGGCGATCACTCGGTGTTTCTCCACACGATGGGGCTGCACCTTGACCGTCGAGTGGCACTGCAGGTCGAAGCGTATCTGATCAGCATCGTCATAAACGCACCCAGAGATCTCCAGTTCAGTGCCACAGGGCATGCCATTGTACAGAGTGTTGTAGTAGGGTGTCTCGCAGGTGGACACGTCCATTCTCTCCACGTATCCCTGGCCGCTGGACATCTGCTGCGCCTTCATAGTGGCCGCATCGAAGACAAACACATCCCCCAGGTCGCTGGTCAGCCAAATGGCATTGTTGGCCGGCTTCCCTATCAGAGTATTGATTTGGCTGCACACTGACGACAAGTGCGAGAGCCAATCCTCCATTTCCGAGTCGCTGGAGAACTGCAGCTTTACGGGCGAGCAGTTGACGGGCAGATGGGGGGCATGGATGGCCAGACGCGGCGATCCCGCCTCGCTGCAGCACTGCGCGCACGTAATATCCGATAGCGGAAACTGTATCTTTGTGGCCGCTCCATCGGGGCTGAGCACTGTGAAGGTGCCCGAGTCACCCGATCTTGAGCCATCGATGCTGCCACTGTTGCTGCCACTGCTGCTGCCACTGACCCATTCAAGCTCTATTATGCAGTCCTCAAAGTCCCCGCCGGGTCGTTGGTAGCGTGCATCCGCAGACTTTATCCACGAAGACAGCTCCACAGCCTTTTCGAATTGGGTCTTACTCTGCAGCTTGACGAGCTTCTCCTGTCGGCGCTGCAGCTTGCCCAGAATGTCCTTCCGCCAGTTGGCATTCACATCCACTTTGCTGTCACTGGCCGCCTGCTCGTTGAACCAGTTGGGCAGATTGTTTGAGTCGACGGTGACTGCTCCGGGAGCAACACAGCTCCAAAGAACCCCGCATTCGGTCCAGAACTGAGAGCCCGTGTGGTCATCATCCTCACCCAGAAACACATCCGATCCGTGGTGCATCGAGTCCGACTCGAAGACCGTCGAATCGCTCTCTGGATGCGCCTCCATGCCCACCACGGATCCTACACTGCGCACTGGCGACCAGGCACGAGGATTCCTCAGCTGTGTCTCGAATTTCCCACTGTTTTCGATCACATCTGCGGCGGGCGCACTGCTGGCGTGTGAGGATTCGCGAAGTGCTGCCGTACGCTGCTTGTGGCGATCGTTCAGGTTCAGGCTGCCTATGGTTGGCGGCGAGTCGGCGCTGAGTTTCCACCTTTCGTTTTTCAAGCGTCCTCCCACTCCGTTGCTGGAGGAGGAGCCCGCGGAACTGTGGAGCACCGTTTCGATAACGGCGCACGTTTCAACGACGCCCTTCTCTTTCTCTTTGGAGTAGAGATTGGAGAAGCTCTGGTGCTTGGACCCGGGCGTGGAGCTGCTGCCACCGCTCTTGCGGGATACAATGGACAAGGAACTGGAAGTGCGGCTGATCTGCATGGGGCATTGCAGTTGACGCCACTTTTTGCCGGTGGGATCGGCGACAGTTACGCCGGACCGATAGTACAGCAAACGGTCAGCGGCCCCCACAGCGAATACCTAGAGAATGGGACACGTAAGTAACCAAAGGAGAATGCCTCAATGGAGGGGAGCGCTCACCTGATCGTTAGGCGCCACGGAAACCATTGAGACGTTGCCTACCATTTCCACCCAACCTTTGCCAATGGCCGAGTCCTCACTTATGCCAGCCGCCTCGCCCTTGATGCCGCGTCGGAACCAGGCATGGTGATCGTTGGTCACACACCAGACCGCATCAGTGCCAACAGAAACGTGTACGATGCGCAAATTCGCGCCAGCCACTGGCGTCTTGACATCGAGCCACGCCTCGCCGGATAGGTTATCGCGGGTCACACCTGTGCGAACGATGACCCGACCGTTGTACAAAACAGCCCAAACCAGACCGGTGGGGCCCACACTGATCTGCGACAGCTCACTGCCCGTGGGCGTGGCTATGGCTGTCCAGCGCAGGCCTTCGGGTGCCGTCTTCGACACACCTGTTCGAAACATGGCCCTGCCATGAGCGGTAATGGCCCAGACACACAGCGTGCCGGCCGCAGCATTGGGCACATTTGTGCCTCCAATTGCCACATCGATGAAGGGCTCTTGGGTGGGATCTTTGTGTAGTGGAGCCACGGCACACCAGCTGTTTAGGGCGGCATAGCGGCGGTAACGTTTCCATTTGCGACGCCGCACATACGAGTTCCATGACTTCTTAATCGAGTAGGAAGCCGGAAAGTCCAAGGCATACATCCAGCCGTCTTCTGGAAGCTGCTGGCCATCCAACTCCAGGTCCAAGTGCCAGTCCCCATCCCATTGCCAGGCCATGGAGGGCAGGCGAATCTTGTCCACACTTCGCTCCACGCTGCCGTCAGCGGAAGAGTATTTGTATCGATCGGTGGGCAAAAGAGTCTTGGAGAAGCCCTCGATGGGCAGCCAGCGTTCGTTCTCGTACGACTCCTCCTTGACCCGTATGGGCACATCGAGTCCGTGAACGTGTACATACACCTGACGGTCGCCGCCAATGGCCCACAGAAAATTAGGTACAGCGCAGATTTTCTTGAATTCCAATCCCAGATACGGCAATTCCCGCCACGCTCCCGAGCTGGTGGACAACGTGTACACACGACCCTCACTGCTCGCGGCAAACAAATATGTGCTAGGCATTTTGGCCACGATTAAATGTAATACTTATAGGGTAGTTGCTGTTCGTTCTCGGTCTTTCATTGTGTTTACAATACGAAAAATTGATTTTTCGTTCATTCTTCACGTCGGCACAAGGTTGCCATATCAGCAGTTTATCAGCTGTGAACCCAACAGTATTCTAGCCCCAATCATAGTGTAAACAATCAGTAAAACAATAGCCCCCTTATCACTCAGACACAAAATTACGAAACTACGAGCTGAAGTCACAGGAATTTTTAAAACAAAATTGTATATCAGTGTTAAATTTTCCCGCTTCATATTATCGATGGTAAGCCGAAACAGTCGATGGTCGGGTAATTTTGAAACCATCGATAGTATATATCGATAGGGCTAGGAAAACAAATCGAAACAAATAAATGAATTGTAAATTGATTTCGAAAAATATGCCAATAATTCAAAGAGTTCGTTCGTACGGAGCAATGTAAGGAGTATTTTAACTAAATATAGTACAACCACCACCAATTAAGTGAGTATACGGCAGCCGTGCGAGATTAAAAGTGCGTTCGGCGTGGCGACGTAAAAGACGAGCACGCGCAGCGTCAGCTGCTAGCTGTGGAGGCGGCCACCACGAAAACCCCGACCGACTCCATCCTCTACTCCATTATCATATCGCCAAAAGCAAGTAGTCCTTGCCAGCAGCCGGTATTTCGTATTTCGTACATTCAAGTAGTAAAACGTTCCTGTATGCACGCATACACACACACACACACACTCACACACAGACGCAGATTTGGGTGCAAATGGTCAGGCATGCACGTACTATAAGGCAGGTTGTTGTTTTTGCTTGGTGCGAACAAACTAAACTACGCGGACGCGGAAGTCCCACAGAAATATCCATGCAACGCAGCCCCGTGTTGCGTGTATATGTCTGCACATCGTATGAACACACACATACAGCAGAAGTGCTCCTGTGTGCATTCCGTGAATTTCTTGGCAGCGACAGTGGAAAAATCATTGCGTCCACCGCGACCCCAGAGTTGGGGGAGGCCTGCACCGACCCGACCTCTGCCTTTGTGACAATTTGCAACGTTAACGCCGACACCCGTAACACAATTAACTAAACACAAAACACACATTTGTTCTTCATTCGGTGGAATCCTTATACGAGGATATTAATGCCGCAGTTTGATTTCTTTTAACCATTGTCTCTCCCTCCTTTCACAGACTAGCATTTCAAGCTGTGTAATGTGTGCTCTCTAAACTACTGTGGTAAGTGCACTGCATAATTGGATGGACAATAAGTTAATCTATTTCCCCAAACCAACAGAACACATTCTTCCAAGCAACTATTATTAATTAAGTCTGGTGACAGGCGCATAAGGCGACGTCTGCCAATCACATCACAACAAGTCATGCCACGGGGTAAGCGTCGAGCTCCAGAAATAGGCGAAACCATGGATAGTCAATCAAAAAGAGCCCGAACGAGCTATACCAGCATACCGACACAGCACGGCAGGTGAGTGCGCCTGAAAAATACACCCGGGGGCGGAGGGGGGCTCGAGACTTGAGAGTCCTCACACAGCAAGAATCCACACACTTTGTCTTTCCACACTCGCTGTTGGGAGCACCTAGGCCATCACCATTATTCCTTTTCATAGCGTTTCCTCCGTCTGTCGTCCCTTTGTATTAATTTGTGGAAACAAATCGATCGAAAGCTGGCAGTAGCCAGTTGCTTTAGGCCACGTTCATACTTACTCCAAGTACTACTTATTCCATTTGGCAACTGGAAATGAGTCGGAGGATATTGGTCTGCCAGCATACTTTCTTGTCGGCAATCGAACAGATCAATCAGATTACATCGCTTGGCATGTAGGAAGGCAAACATTATTCTGTTCTGTAATACGATGCATTCGGCAGCCCAACCAAAGGTTAGGCGTACTATTCCGGGAACGACACTCCCGGAGATGAATCAGATCATTTAGTGTGTATTTCTGCCCACAACTAATGTAATCCTTGGAATCTATTTGATGGTTATGATCAGAGCAGAGCCCCAAACCAAACACAGTATAGTGTTTATAGTCTCCCAAATCCATGCTTCAGACTTTCCAGATCTATTCGGCTAATCTTCCGCCAGGTATTTGGATTCTTAAGCAAGAAAAATGCCTGAGCAATCAGTTGGCAAATAATTGTTTGCTTAGGCGGTGGAAACATTAAGCCGAACCGCATTTGATATTCGATATAAACATAAACATGTTGTCCCAGACAGAAGTTAGCAATAATTTGTAAGCATGTGAGAAAGAAAGACTTGTTTTTGCGATGAATCTGAGATTTAATCAAAGGAGAGAGAAAGGTGCAGGAGGAGATTTCAAATAACAATAGATTGCTGAAATTTGAGTAGAAATTTAGAATTTGAACGATTCGATTTGATTCGATCTAAAGTACATGACGCGCCATAACATTGGTCTTTTGTTGAAGTTTTGTTATTTGTTGTTCGCCTGGCAAGTAAATAATACCTGATATATCTTGGGTTAGTAAGGATTTATGTTAACATTTAATAATTAATATTATATGTTTATGTTTATGTATATGTATATGTATAAGGTGCGTATTATTTTATACATTAACAATATGGAAGACATTTGCAATTCTCATATATTATATGTGTATCTCATAAATGGTAACATCAGCTTCTGCGCTGCGCCAACTCTTAGTTTAAAAATAGGACTACGGATTACAAGAGATCCAACAAACATGGGGGATATGTGTAGACAACGATATGGTCGAGAATATTTGAACAAAAAGCGCCACCTCACATTCGGCTCGCTCACTCCATTGAACCGTACTGGACCTTCTTGATTTTAAAGTAACTGCACGAAAAGAAAAACAGAACAGAAACATTAGTCGCACCCACTCACCAGAACACACCAGCAGAACAACAGAACAGAACAGCACAGAACAGAACAGAACGAGTCTTACCGCCAGCCTCCGTATCCAGATATGGTCAATAGAACGGCTATGGCCAGTGCAGTGCCCACTGCCAGAGGCGCTGTCTCGTCGCGGTAGGACCCAGTGGCACTGCAGTGGAACGACGGTCCCCACTTGCCAGTCTCCTTGAACATGAAGCTCTGCATGTGCAGATCGCGCAAGTACAGACGAGCAATATGTCCGGACTGGTCGCCAGAGTCGTTTGGGGCGTACATAATGACTTTCTGCTCTTTGTCGCAGACATACGCTTTGCCCACCGGCGTTGCGAAGTACATGGGCGTGTGCACGGGCGAGGTGAGCTTTACGTTCAGTCCGGGACGATCGGGGTGCTCGAACAGTGGGTTGGACGACGAGTATGTCAGCTCGAAGAGGTTGATGTACCAGCCCTCGCCGCCAGAAGACTACAGTGGGGGGGAGGGGAAACATTCCAGTGTAAGTGTGTAGGAGCTGCCACCTTTGACCTTATTTGGTTACTGAGCACCCAGCCACCCCAAAAGGGGCACCCACGCACTGGTGGCGTATAGTACATACCTTTTTGAATGTCATGGACAGCCTGAAACCCTTAAACTCCATTGTGAGTATCTCCATGTTGGACTCGTCGCACTCCCCACTCAGCTGGGGGCTGTCCGGCATGTACAGGTCGGCCTCCACATCCTCGTTCAGCTTGTTGCGATACTTGATGCCAATGAGACCGTCGACCTGCATTAGGATGCAGGTGATTCCGTTGGTGGCATTGAAGCGGTACAGCGAAGCAGTGGCATCATGGTTCATCGATGATGCCTGCAAAGGGGTTCCACGAGGGTGAACGATTGGATTTTTGGGACTGACCAACTGACCGACTGACGGCAGACTTACCGATGGCGATTTGGTTGTGTATTTGCTGACCCTCGGAGTTTTTGTCGTGAAGGCGCTCAGCTGCAGGCCCTGAACGGCGGTAACTGCAATGAACAGGACAACAGACAAGACAAGTTGCTTTTTCAGTGTGTCAGACCCGTCCTCGATAGTATTGATTTTCGGTGTGCTCTAACCACGCATAACGAAACTCGTGGCCCCCACTCTAAGCCTTCTTCTGTTACTTACCCAAAAAAACAAGGAGCGCCGAGTAGGCTAATGCTCCATTCAGGCAATTGGGAATGCAGTAGTTCCTTGGCTTCAGCTTCAGCATCTTTTAGCGAATTGTTTGCACAATATATTTAATTGATTCCTTGAAGAATTTTGCTCTGCCGTCTCCACTAGAGAGCTCGATGGGGAACTACGACGTGTTTCTTGCTTCGCGTCCTGCGCACATCTGAGGCCTCAGAAATGAGGAAATCATTCTAGCTGGTGTCCCCACAAAACGCACTCTCACTCCCACTCCCCACCATTTGACTTCACTCTCGCTTTTGTCCTGCGCAGACGCTCAATTGGATTGTGGGTACATACATATGTATATAGGATGCACCAAAAACCGAGCGGCAACGTTGTTAGCCGCGACAAGGGCCGTGGCTCTACATTTATACCCGATACTCAGTCGGTTTACAGATGTATACATATGGGCAATGAAAACAAACATTTTCCCCACGATTTTTTCCCCCGATTCGATAGCATTTTGTTGGAGAATTAAAAATAGGATATGTGTAGGTTTCTATCGAGTATTTACACAATAAATTATCTCAATTGGTTTTTGGAAAATTGAATTACAATAAGTATGAGCCTTATCACCTCACTTTTTCCCATAAACCACTTTATATTTGCTTAACAAACAACTTAGTAGGCTTTTAAGAGAGATATTGGGGATAAACTCTTCTCAAAAATCATCTCCTCCATGGGAGAAAATAGTATAGGAAAACATGGCTAAAAAAAAAGAAACAAGTTGATTTATGGAAAAAAAAAAAAACCGAAAAAATCGAACATCTTGAGATTTGTTATACATGTACACATATTAAATTTTTTACGCCTGTCTCTTTTTTTCCTATTCTGACACCAACACCAGCCATTTTATCTCGCTCTATTCCGCGATATCGCACACACTGCACGAGGAAGAGAGAGAGAGAGAGAATGAGTAAGCGCGTGGAAGGCGTTGCGTAGCCACTACAGTTTCATTTGTTCCTTCTGACTATAATAATGATCCGATCTGATCTATGATTCTTCGTGCGTCCGTCTGTCCGTCCGTCTTGATGAGCGCCTAGGTCTCAGAGACTATAAGAGCTAGAGAAAACACTGTGAGACCCGCCTCTTTCCACATAGTACGTGAATCGAAAACGCAGAACCATAGAGAAGTGCAGTGTGCACCCCCCAGTCGGAGGGCTGCTAGGTATGTGAGAAGTATACATATATTGTCTGAGTATCGGGTGTAAATGCAGAGCGGCGGCCCTTGCCGCTGCACACAACGATCCCGCTCGCTGTGGTTTTGTTTCTCTTTTGCACATTTTGCTTGTTCGTCTCGAGTCGAGCAGGAATCTGCCTCATCATGCACACGCCATGAATTTTTTTTTTTGTATGCTCGGGGAAACACTTTTGAGCTTTTCGCTTGTACCTCCCAAGTCTCGTATCATTTGAAGCCATTTCCATGGACCTACTATCAATGGTCGATGGGATCTAGCCTAGGAAAACCTCCAAGTATATACACAGATGGATCACCGATCCGATAAGAGCTAGCATATCTAAAATTGTTGAATACTTCTATATGTACACACATGTAGCAGTATATATGCATATGTACAAGTCTACATAAATATGTACATATATATACTGTATATTTTTTGGTATGCCTATGCCTAATCGAATGCAAAGCTGTCTCTGATATTGTTGTCATGGAAGAGCAGTACAAAATATCATTTTGGGGAAAAACTTTTTGCTTTTAAGGTAACTTATTGCAAAAATCTGTAACGACACGAGTAATTATATGAAGATTCGCCAGGCCTTCCTTTCTAGTCTTTCAGCTGTTTGTCTGCTCTTGGCATTGGCCTCGTCTCTGCGCTACGTTTACTATCGCTATTTTTAGGGACCGGACGCAACACTTAAAACAAAACCCGAGCGAAGAAGAAAATCGAATAAAATAAACAAAAAAGAGTCCACAAAGAGAACTAGGGACAGATTCGATTGAAACTTTAGTGTATATGTAGTGCATGGTGCAAGAAGAAAAACAGATCAATTAATTCTCATTGGTATATGAATCGAGAGTATCGATGGCAGAGTATGTGGATGGAAATCAGTCTATAGAATCAGCAAGTAAATATTTTATGGACGATATTTTACTTATTTTCCACAGGCGCCATATCAGAGCTGAAGACAGCTTCAGTCATAAACGATGTCTGACATGGTTCCAGGAATACACAACTCCCGATGAGCCAGAGACACTGGGTAAGTGGCGCTTCTACCATGCACGTTTTCGGATCATCTATACGTAGAAGCTATACATTGGCTGCCCCTCCTTCATAGGTCCTGACGGAATGGAAAAGTTCTGCGAAGATATAGGAGTGGCGCCGGAAAACATTGTGATGCTGGTCCTCGCCTACAAAATGGGCGCCACCCAGATGGGCTTCTTCAGCCAGAAGGAATGGTTGAAGGGCCTCACAGAGCTCGAGTGTGACTCAACAATGAAAATGGTTGTGAAACTGGACTATCTGCGTAGCATACTCAACGATGCCAACTCCTTCAAGAGCATTTACAGATATGCCTATGATTTCGCCAAGGTATACTTATCTCACTATTCGCACGAAAGATCTAAGCAAATGTATATATGTTTTTTTCCATATCTAGGACTCGGACCAAAGGAGTATGGACATCAATACGGCCAAGGCCATGTTGGCGTTGCTGCTGGGCAAGCATTGGCCACTCTATCCGCAGTTCGCACAGTTTCTAGAGCAGTCAAAGTACAAGGTGATCAACAAGGATCAGTGGTGTAACATACTAGAGTTTTCGCGCACAATCTGCATGGACTTGTCTAACTACGATATTGACGGCGCATGTGAGTAACCACGCCACGTTTTGGCGTTTCTTTTTTGCGATAACTAATTGATTGTTTTTGTGGTTTGCAGGGCCGGTCATGTTGGATGAGTTCGTAGAGTGGATGCGCATGCAGCGGAATCAGGTCTCCAGCTCGGTATCCAGCTGAGAGATGCTGTATCAATTCGCCTATTTCTAGTTCAACTGCTGGATATCAATGAGGAGGAGGAGGAGACAGGAGAGGAGTTCACCAATTTAAGATCAGCGGAACTAAGACCCCGTACCCAGCCTGCATCCCATATCCTGTATCCCTGTATACGCCCCATACACGCACTCAAAACGACACTCACTCGCAGAGACACACAAACACACAAGGCATTTGGAGAGACTGCGTACACTGGCAAAGCAAACCAACTATGAAACTACACTATTGATATAATATTTAATGTAATAATTTATGTATTAACGACTACTAAAAACTAAAACCGAAAATTTTCTACTTTTAAGGAGTCATTGAATACAAGAATACAAGAAAGAACAGCAGAAAAAGCCAAATTGGGGGCCGCTCGCAAAAAGAAAAACCCACTAAAAAGAAGCGATGGAAATAACCGAGAAAACCCCCAACCCCCAAGAAAAACGAAACTTTTCAAGATATCTGCACTATAGTCAAAATCAACGAAAGTCGACACCAATCCTGGGCAAATCGTAATCGTTAATAAATCAATGTAGGAAGAACACAACTTTTGGGGAATATTTAATAAATATGCATATTAAGTGAATACAGTGACAGTGGTGTTGCCTTGTTACCTAATTCATTTTTGCTAGATTTCATCTAATTAGAAAATTAAATATTGGAACTCCCAAGATCTCGGAGCACGACCGTCGGGTGATTACGGTCTAAGCGTGCCTGATCACTGACTGATTTAGTATCTCTGAATATGGTAACTAAAATGTTCGCATTATCAGTGGATATATGCATGTAAATATATGCGAAAGCGTGTATATAACATAACATATATGTATGCGTGAATAATTTCTTGTAAGGCTATCTATGAACTCTGCCGCCATCTGTTGGCGAGTAGATGAGCTACTACGGACAGCTGAAACTCCATGGGAGGCTTCAGGCTTTTATCGCACAAAAATATTGTTTGACACAGCTACCCAAACAATAATGAAAGTAGCATCAAAAGTAGTAGGCTCATCTGAATAAGATAAGTCAAACAACGTTAACTCAATGAAACAACAGCATAAAATAGAGTGCTCTGATTTGAGAAAAGTAGTTGCGTTGACATATCAGTCTCACAAATATATAAAAATTCATCTACTAAAATTTATTATAGATCGATATATGTGCAGCGCACATCACTAATTTTCATTGGCATTTAAATCGAACGGTTTCGGCGCGTTCTCCGCTTTGTGGCTATTTTTCGTGAACTGTGAATTGTGAGTGGTGTCGGTGGGCATAGGCATAGTCTGCGAGCGATAATTTGTGTCTTGGCATTTGCATTGTCATTGTTAAATTGTTTCTTTGGGAACGCATTTAACTGGACGTGGTGTGTACAGAGCGGATTTTGCATCAACGCGAAGGCGAGGAAGTTTTTTGTGTTTCGAGTGAACGCCAAGGCAAAGGGACATCAGAGCAAAATGGCCGCAAAACCGGAGGATAAAAGCACAGATATACCGGATCGTCTCTTCGACTCCAATCAACGCAGGACGTACAAGCGTATGCGCTTCTTTGGAAAGGTAAGACTTGCCCCAGAAGTGGATCATTGTGTTCTAGGGAATCCTCATGCACATTTTAACAACTCTGCGCAGCCTCGCAGCGCTGGGCATACACATACATATGTATGTAAGGGCATGCAAACCAACATATACAAGCATGCGATTTACATCTATTTTCGCCTCAGTTTCCTTTGGCACCCTTCCACTGTTTTATGTGTGATCGCGTGCGTGTGTGTGCCTGGTAGAGTTGTCAAAGAAGTGACGGCCCAGCCACATACATGCATGCATACGTACATTCCTTTTTTTTTTTTTTGGCGCGTCGCATTCAATTTACAATTATTTAGCAAAAAATTGTGGCTATAATGAGATGTTTTGCAATTGCTTGTGCAGGGCGGCTTTGCCAAGTGCTACGAAATCATCGATGTGGAGACCGACGATGTTTTTGCCGGCAAAATCGTATCAAAGAAGCTGATGATCAAGCACAACCAGAAGGAGAAGACCGCTCAGGAGATTACCATTCATCGTAGTCTCAATCATCCCAACATAGTGAAGTTCCATAGCTATTTCGAGGATGTCCAGAACATTTACATTGTCCTGGAGCTTTGCAAGAAGCGGGTAAGTACGCCGGAAATTCAGCATAGCATGCGTTCTTCCGAGCTAATGGATCCCGCCTTTTTGCCACTCAGTCGATGATGGAGCTGCACAAGCGCCGGAAAAGCATCACGGAGTTCGAGTGCCGCTACTACATTTACCAGATCATCCAAGGCGTCAAGTATCTGCACGACAACCGCATTATCCATCGCGACTTGAAGCTAGGAAACCTGTTCTTGAACGATATGCTGCACGTGAAGATTGGCGACTTTGGCCTAGCCACTCGCATCGAATATGAGGGCGAACGCAAGAAGACTCTGTGCGGCACCCCAAACTACATTGCCCCAGAAATTCTCACCAAAAAGGGGCATTCGTTCGAAGTGGACATATGGTCCATTGGCTGCGTCATGTACACTCTGTTGGTAGGCCAACCCCCGTTTGAGACCAAAACGCTGAAGGACACTTATTCAAAGATCAAGAAGTGCGAGTACAGAGTGCCAAGCTACTTGAGAAAACCTGCTGCGGATATGGTGATCTCCATGCTCCAGCCGAACCCTGAGAGCCGCCCAGCAATTGGCCAGTTGCTGAACTACGACTTCCTGAAGGGCTCGAAGGTGCCAACGTTCTTGCCAAGCTCTTGCCTAACTATGGCTCCGCGAATTGGCATCAACGACACCATTGAAGACTCCATTCATCGCAAGCCGCTGATGGAGATGAACGGCATTAGGGATGATACTCGTCTGGAGTCAACATTCCTCAAGGCTAACTTGCACGACGCCATCACTGCCTCGGCCCAGGTGTGCCGCCACAACGAAGACTACCGCAGCGACATTGAGAGCTTGCACCAGCAGCTCACCAATCTGATCAACAACAAGGTTTGTAATCATTGCAGTGATTGTATCTGTTAAATAATTATTAATCATCTCGTGCTTACAGCCGCGCATACTGCAAGGCAATCTCGGAGATGAGAATACCGATCCTGCAGCACAGCCGCTCTTCTGGATATCCAAGTGGGTCGACTACAGTGACAAATACGGCTTCGGTTATCAGCTCTGTGATGAGGGCATTGGCGTTATGTTCAACGACACAACCAAATTGATTCTGCTTCCGAACCAGATCAACGTCCACTTCATAGACAAGGACGGAAAGGAGAGCTACATGACTACGACCGATTACTGCAAGACGCTTGATAAAAAGATGAAGCTGCTTTCCTACTTCAAGCGTTACATGATCGAGCATCTCGTGAAGGCTGGAGCCAATAATGTGAACATTGAGAGTGATCAGATATCGCGTATGCCCCATTTGCACTCCTGGTTCCGCACAACGTGTGCTGTGGTCATGCATCTTACCAACGGTTCCGTGCAGGTAGCTACGCAAATTTAGTAAATGCTCCCCCGACTTATAGAAATTAACCAAAACTATTCCTGATTTCAGCTTAATTTCTCGGATCACATGAAGCTCATTCTTTGTCCGCGTATGAGTGCCATTACATACATGGATCACGAGAAGAACTTCCGCACATATCGCTTCTCGACCATCGTGGAGAACGGTGTGTCCAAAGATTTATATCAAAAGATACGCTATGCCCAAGAAAAACTTAGGAAAATGCTGGAGAAGATGTTTGTTTAATTGTTGGATGATGTTCACCATCTCCACAACCTACCAGCGGACTATCATTCTAAGGCAAAATGTTAGTTTAAGCTAAATCACGAACGCCTTAGCCAACCCAACCTAACCCTCGGGGTCGACTTAAAATATCACCAATTCCCCATTCTTCTGTACCCACGCCAATGCTTTCCCACAATCGTAGTTTCTGTCCAAATTTGTATTTACTGTTTAACGTTTTTTTTTTGTTTGTTTTTGCATTCCACTTTAGTTCCCTGTTTAACGATTATTCATTGGAAATGCTGGCCCACGCTGAAATATAAATATATCTGTTCAAATATTTTCGTACACGAATATCGAAAGAAATTATTAATAAATAAAAATAAATGCATACTTTTAGAAATTACAAGTAATCCTCGATCGCCCACGCATCATTTTAACAATTCGAACATTTGTGTAGTAAAAACAACAAACAAAACATGGATTTTAACTATTAGAACCCTGCGGTTTGGGAGTAAACATTTCTTTTGTATTTTTACCTAAGCTAATAAAATTTGAACCACTGTAGTAATAAATACAATGCTTCTCAAATTATTCAAATTGGAAGATTTTACGTCTCAAATTGATTCTGGGAATGTCGTATGTATTATATTTCTGTTTTCTGAGTACCAGTCGGCCACATTTACATTGTTTCGGCTTATCCACGAATTAGGAAACTTGAAACAATTTATCGCAGTTCAGGTGTAAGTATCGTGGTCATTTTTTTTTTTTTGAGGCATAGAGAAAGATTGAATATAAAAAAAGACTTTAAATACAGTGTTTTTTCCCGCAGTATACGTCAGGTTGCCCATCTGTTTTGTTGAAAACAACATTGTATAAAATATAACATCAATATTAAATTTTCCCGATCAATATAATTGATGGTGAAGCGAAACAATCGATGGTCGGATAATTTGTCAGCCAGGGTGAGCATTTACGGTATATTATACACTTTCATTACGGTGTATCGTTATATAATATTATGGTATATTTCATACATTTTCAAACAATTTATTTTTTTGGCGCACACCACTTGAATCCAGTCGATAGCATCGATGGCTTAGTCCGATTTTTCATCGGTATATTTTTTAAAGGAGATGGTATATTTCTAGGGTTGAGATCGTATATTTGCTGCTAATAAAACCATCGCTAGTGGCGCCTATTGAAAGTTTTGAATGGAATTATTTAAAAAATCGATTCTATCGATATTATCGGGCTCATATTGTTATTATTCAAAAAGTCCTTCAAAGGCTATTTTTCATCGAAATTAAATAAAAATTTTTCAAAACTCAAAAACTATGAAATGTTTCATACATAAGTCGCAAAATATAAATTCATGAAGCTATTTATTTGCTAAGAACAGTTCATAAATGGTAATTTCAAAAATAAAATACATACAAGCAACAAACGTTTCAAACATTAATCTTAAACTGTATAAATAATTCGTGGTTTTTGCTTATTTGCTAAGATCAGTTTCATTCGAAATCTGTTTAAAAACAGACTTTTATTTAATAAATATTATTTTTGATTTTTATTGTATAATTCTTATTATAATTATTATTCTTGATTTCTATTGAATAATTATTATTTTTGATTTTTATTGTATAATTATTATTTTTGTATAGTATAATTATTATTATTGATTTTGATTGAATAATAATCATTATTTCTGACTTTTATTCGTTATGATTTTTTTTATGTTGGTCACCCCAGGCTCCAATTAATGCAAAAACAATTTAGTCCCTGTTTAAACCGATTTCAACGATATTTTGCAGCTCATCGTCTTTCTACAGAGACCAAGAATAGGTATAAGGATATATATAAATATGT